TAAATATCTGAATTTATATATTATCATATATAGTGTTAATCCATATAACATGTCTATTGTTTTTAAGGTAAACCACACAAACGGTCCTCAATTATAAGATATTATTTTATTGAGTTATCTGACTATTAAAAATTATAAAATGATCCTTCAATTATAGGGAGTTACTTTTTCTAATCCATTAACTTTTAAAAGTTATAAAATGGTCACCCGACTATTCATTATATTTCATACTTGTCATTTTCTGTTAAAAATTTGACAACAATGTGAGTTATACGTTACCATGTTGACTTAGATGAGTTTGGAACATAATAAATAGTTGAGGGACTCAACAAAGTAACTCCTTATTGATTGACCATTATGTAACTTTTAATAGTCGAATAACTCAATAAAATAGTACTTATCATATAGTTGGGAGACAATTTGTGTACTTTACCCTTTCTTATTAATCTAAGGTACTTACAAGCGCTAATATCTATTCTAAAAACTCATAACCATTTGACTATAAATGTCAAAATACATTCTAATCTCTGGTACTTGAACCTGGGACATCTAGGAATAACAACCATTTTTTTATAACCGAGGTAACTTGATTCGTGCTTATAGATATCTATTTGAATCTGAAGCTGATAGAAATCTTAATTTCCAAAGTTAATCATATACTAATTTTAGAGAAAAAAAATCTGTTCAAATAATCGTAAATATCCCAATCCTCTCATCCCTCCCGGGTATGTAATTTAATCCCAAATACACACCAACCGAGGTCCCATCCAAAGCACATGGGTCATTAGATGCTACAGAGGCCCCATCTGACCCATTTTCTTTACAGCTTCTCTCGTTCCTTACAAAGCCCACAAACTCCCAACCCCATCCATATTACAACATCTATCGTTTCGTTGTCTTCAAATTAACTACTCAATCAGCAATTTAGCTGGTCGAATCAAACATATTTTCGAACCAAACTAATTGTATAGTCGGCCTGTGATGCTAAATCTATGAACCATGGTAAAACCTTGGTCGTATTTGTCCTTGTGTTCATGGAGACATTTACAAGGTTGTGGTCCTTGCTGTCTGTCCTTTATGTTTTTCTTCTTTTAATGTACATAATTAATTGTGTATATAAAAGTGGTGGTTTTGTGTCACATAACTCTATAAATGTATTCTTTCCAACAACAAAAAAACACTATAAATGTAGATCTCAAAAAATGCAAAATTCACACTCAACTATTCCATATTTGTTTTTATTAAAATGAGTCATACTTCATCCAAGGCTTAATATCAAAATAAGGGCTCAAACTATACATTAATTTTCATATAGGTGTCTAAACTATTTTTTGACTCATCTAGGTGTCTAACGTTACAAATATTAACCATCTAGGTGCATCGATCGTAATATTCGTTAAATAACCTCGTTAAGTGACACGTGTCATAATCTTAAATTTTAAATTTTTTAATTTTCTTAAATAATTTTAAAAAAATAAACCCATGTATATCTCCCCCTCCCCTGTTGTCCCCCCCCTTCCTTGTTGTCCTTCCCCTGCCCTTTTGTTATTTCCATTTCCATGGCCAAACAACCAAAATTCAAACGGCAGACTAAATGATCGACCAAATGACTAAGGGGATGGCTGCCACAACCGAATTAATAGTCAATTACCACGATCGACCTAAGGGATTTAAAGGATTGGGTATTTTGGATTTTAGGGATAAAGGATTGAAGTTTATGGATTTGGAATTTTTTGATTTTGAGATGATAGCAATGGTTATGACTGGTCAGTGGGTGGCCGTCGAATGACTGGCAATTGAAGAGACTATAATAAGAGATTTAGTGAGTTTGGGGTTTTCTTGATTTTTTTTTTTTAAAAATTGGGCCTTTTTCAAAAATAAAATATCTTTAAGTTTTAAAAAAAATTCCAAAATTACCATATTATGACAAGTGTCACTTAACGAGCTTTTTTAACGACCGTTTCTAATCGAGGCACCTAAATAGGTAACGTTTGTAACATTAGGTATCTAGATGAGTCAATAATTAGTTAAGGCACCTATTTGGGAATCAGAGTATAATTTGGACACTTATTTTATTTATTAAACCTTCATCTAATTATGTATCAAATAAACAAGGATAAATTATAGAAAATGGTCGCTAAACTTATTGAACTGTTACAAAATGACCACTACACGTTATAAAATAGCAAAATCGTTATTAAACTTATTGAACTGCTACAAAATGACCACTACACGTTATAAAATAGCAAAATGATTACTAAACTTATTGAATTGTTACAAAATGACCACTACACATTATAAAATAGTCATTAATTTTGATAAATTCAACGATCATTTTATAACATTTTGTACTGATTTGATAAAATTTAATGTTCATTTTGTACTAGTTTGATAAAATCTAAGATCATTTTATAATAATATGATAAGTTTAATGATCATTTTGAACTAAATTGATAAAAATTAATAATTATTTTTATAATAATTTTATAAATTCAATAATTATTTTATAACATCTGAAATTGTAATGATAAAAAAATTATTTTAACATAATTCAATAATCATCTACGTATTTTATCTAATAAACAAAATATTAAATGTGACCAATATGCTAAACAATGACCTCCACTATCCCATCTCGTTTTCTAACATCAAAACAAATAAAAATGTCAAAGGCTTATTAGGCAACAAGTATATGCTCTTGGTGTCTTGATTCCAATAATTTATTATTCCCTTTGTGTCATTGATATTTGATTAATTTCATAAGATATATTAGTTATATACATTTGATAAATTAACATTTTTATTTAAAATATTAGGTTAAAAGAATCGTTGTTGATCCTATAGATCACGGGGTTTTATAACACCCCCGAATATCGACCTGGTAGTTTCGTATCGACTCAATAATTTATTTAATAGATCATTTACATCATGAGGTTCCTTTGGTTCGAATTTTAGTTTAATCAAGTGAGAAATTAACCTTGTATAAGATAAAAAAAATGGATTTTTAAGCTTAGGAAGAAAATGGAATGACTTAGAGTGTAATTTTATCATTGAAGAAAAACATGGTTGAATTGGAAGGAATTTTAGCTGATTTCACGTGGGTGAGGGAGCTTTGGGCACACCATTTTTCTCTCTCTCTTCCCCAAAACTTCTCCTTCTTCATTCCCTTTTTCTACTCATTATTTCTTCTTCTTTCAAGCTAGATAAATGGGAAAGCTTGCACCTTTCTTCATCTCATTCTTGAATACTAAATCTAGAGGTAAGATTATTAATCTAGGGCCCTCAAGCTTCATGAAAAGCTCACCATCTTCTTCAATTGTGGTTTTGAGCTTCATGAAGGTTCTATGGTGGATTTAAGCTCCAAAAGTTTCCTCCAACGTTTCCATTTGATTTTTATGTGTTATAGTCGTTGTTTGACATCTAGCCTCCTTCATTTTCATGTTGGAATAATTTTGTGACTTAGGTTGGTGAAAATTGGTGCAAGAACCCCCATGAGTTAGATCAAGGAAAGGTTGATCCTTGGATAAGCTATAGACTTTTTGAGTTGCTAAGAGCTAAGGTAACATACTATAAATCCTCCTTACTAATTGTAATATCATCTAAATGAATATGTTTGGGTTCATGAATCATGTATTAATAATTCATGACAAATTTTATGTTTAATGTTTGTAAGCATGAAAAGTGACATCTTTTGACCCCTATGAACTCAAATAAGACTCTAAGAATATTTGTTAGCCTTAGTCTGACGAATAGGTGAGTTTTGGGTATGATTTCATGCTCAAAATAGAGCACTTCTATCCATCAATATTGGTATTGTAAGAGCATTATCGATGCATGTAAATTTCGGGTCGTACCAGTACAAATTCCGATATACGTAAATTCTAGAATTGTACCTTATGCTTGAGAGCATGTATATGTATGATCGGGATGTGAGGTTCTGATGCACATAAATTCTGGACCTCACCTCGAGCTCTCGAGGATCCGTGGTAGCCTAAGGGCAATAAGTTTCGATGCACGTAAATTTCGTTTCTTACCCTGAAGCTATCACGTTTGGGATAGGCTAGTGTGTTGTTTGAGATGCATGTAAATTCGTTCGACCACATCGCCTGACCTATCTCATGTTTTTTGATATGTTTCTGCATACTCATGAGATATTAGGTAAGGTAGGGGTGTTGGCCACACCACTAGACTTACCAGAACATGTTTTTGAGTGTATTTGTATGCACATGATTCTGTTTAGTAGTATGATCATTTAATGAATGCATGTAGTATGCTATAGGTATTGTGTGATGCGGGACTTGCAAGCTTACCGTTCTGAATGTGTTTTCGTTCGCATATTTCAGGTTTCGTGGAGTGCGATGGGACAAAGATATCATCCGAGGAGTCTCAGTGGAGTATCAGAGTAAAATAATGATGGCCTAGTGGGCACATAGAGGTCATGAATCGAAAAGAGTCAGCTTGTAATTTTTTAATTATTTATTTTATTTATCGAGTTTGTAAATTTGGGGCTCTATTTTTGTAAATTGTTATTATTTTATATCTTGTATAAATATTTTGAAGTGAGTATGGTTTCACAGAAAAAGATTTCGTTGACCGCGTGGTGGTTTTATGTGGCATTCGAATCCATGGGATTCGAGAGTTACAGGTTCGAACACCAACGATTGCAACAATGAGGTTGAGCGTTCATTGTTAAATAATTGAGAGTATTTAAAATAAATATTACATTATAATTACTTTAACTTAATAAAAAATAGCTTTATTCACTTATTGTTAGTTTAGTTTAATATTTTAGTTTTTATTAAATCTGTTATTAGTAGTAACAAAGAAGATGGCATAATCCGCGTTCTTATTACAGTATTCAGTAATTAAAACGGTCATTTAACTTCGTATATTATTCTCTCATCTAGAAGTCTCGGTGAAATTATTTGTTAATTGCCAAAAAAGACAATAATAATATTTATAGTTTAGTCATCATTGTTCTCTGTGCATTCGGATTATGGAATGACTTTTGACTTTTCCTCTCTCTCTGTGGCTCTTAATTCTCTTACACGGAAGATGGAGACTCAAAGTTGGTATCTTTGGATTTGTTCCTTTGGATTCCTTTTATGAGTTTTCCATTACGAATACATCTGGATACTGTTATCATAACCCTTTTATTTGTCCTTTTGGCTCATTTTCTACGGTGGGGAGATGTCGAAAAAGTATGGATTTGTGAGTTTGGGCTGAGACTTTTAAGGTAAACCACAGATTTTTGTTTTCCTTGGAGGACGAAGATTTGGAGATTATTTTTCTTGTTGGTGTTAGCTGAAATGGGTAGAAGAAGAAAAAGAAGCTTGGTGAACGTTGATGGAGTTGTGGACTTTTTCAACAATGTTATGGTGGAGAAGAAGCCTTATCTTCCTTTTCTGATCCCTTTGATTTTGATATTCTGGGCTCTGGAGAAATGGTTTTTCTCTTTGTCCAATTGGGTTCCTCTTGTTCTTGCAGTTTGGGTAACCATCCAGGCAAGTTCCTTCCTTTTCGATGTGTTTTATGCTTATGGATATGAATCAGCTTTAATGTTCACATAGGAATTGTTTAGGGAATGATCCTATATTTTTCTTTTCATTACAAGCTCGTTATGTCACTCATTTGAATCTCTGTTACATTTTTCCATTTTAGATTTTCTATCTGATATTAAATGCCGCGAGGGGAGAGCTTATATGTTGTTAGAAATGCTTTAATACTCCTTAGGCATACTGTTACTCCATTTTGGGTCCAAAACATGTATAGATTCAGTTGATTAGGTGATGCTATTGGATTTTAAGTTCCCCCCATGTGACCTGCTGGCATTTTTGTTTTCTGTGTTCAGATAATTACTTTCTATTTGGCTCAATATTTGCAACTTGATTTTGAATATTTTTCCTCAAATAGCCAGCCAATGGTTCTTAGTGGAAGTAACATAGTCTTACATGATTCTGGTACTTGATACTCCACAATTACGCTTGCTTCCTTTACCATGTCAAATGTCATTGTTACTTCAAGAAAAGAATACAAATGGAGTTCATTGTTGAAAGGGAAACTCCCTATATTGAATTAAATCGAATGCATATCCGTTTTTTAGTTGGTTTTGGAGCTAGCTAGGCATAGCCCTTGTAGCTAAAAATTGCTGTTTTCCTTCATTATTAGGACGGTTCCTCGACCATTCTCTTTTCCTTACTATTTTAATTTTTCTCCAAGGTGTAGATTTCTTCTTGTCAAAAATTGGATTCCTAGGTAATTTTGTAAGCAGTCTATGTTTCTCTTATCAGTTACTCGAATGTCGAAACCTAAGCACTTTAATCGTTCTTGAGGTTCATCCTTGACATGTTTTTCATTTCTTTTCCTCACTTTGGACTTTATTTGATAATAATAACTAGATTTTCGATCACTAAACTATTTTGTGATATCTAAATGTTTTGAAAGAAAATAACTGTGCCCTTCACCCTTTTGGTTGAGTGTGTTATGGCAATTAGTTTTAAATTTTTATTATGATGACATTAAGGTATTTCTCCTCCATTGCAGTATGGTAATTATCAACATCGAATAGCTGTTGAAGACTTGAATAAGAAGTGGAAGCGAGTTACACTGAGTACTTCGGTACGTACAATTTCTTTGACTTTTTACTTCTAAGATATGTGAGTATTATCATGATCAATCATTCGGCACTTTTGAACAGCCATTAACACCATTGGAGCACTGTGAGTGGCTAAACAAGCTTTTAATGGAGATTTGGTCCAACTACATGAATCCAAGGCTTTCATTAAGGTTCGAATCTATTGTTGAGGTAAGGACTGTGGGATCTTAGAGAAAACTTATTGAATTTAGTCTTATTGCAAGCTCCGGTTTTAAGCATTTTATCTAGTTGAAAACTTGTGGGATCTTTGAATGACAATTTCTTCTAGATTAAAATACCGGACATTGCCTGGTCCTATGACAAATATATGTTTGTTTATATTAACTTTGGAAAAAGCTTAAGTTTGCATCGAAATATCTGCTGTCAATGGTATATTGATAGACCAGTTTAATGCTGTTCTTTCCCCCTCTATTCTCCCCTTCGAAGGGGAGCCCAACGATGAGCAAAATAAGGTTTCCATCCCATCTCACTTTGCAGGAGCCAGCATCATAGTAGCCCGTTTTCGTATCTTACTGCAATATTTGGTGGTTCTTTGGCTTTTAATGAAATATTAACCTCTTGCATGAAAATGATGATTTTTTTGTAATACATACTATATTTGAAGAAATATTCAATTGTGGTGCTTTGAGATTATATTGGTTTTAATTATTTCTTCTTAAAAAGAGAAATATATACAAACATTCTTTTAACTTCTTATTTATTACATTCAAATGATCAAGTGTTTTCTTGCATGCAGAAACGCTTGAAACATCACAAATCAAGACTTATTGTAAGTGATGCAATTTGCATTTGGTTTTCAAGAAAAAGTTCAAATTTACAGTTTTATCCTTTTGATTGATTTTAATATTTAGATACTCACATGTTCACCAATGAGATTATCATTCATGTAGGAAAGAGTAGAGTTGCTGGAGTTTTCACTAGGTTCATCTCCACCTTGGTTGGGTCTTCATGGGACTTGCTGGTCAACTTTTGGTGATCAGGTTTGGATTCTGTTTTTTTTTTCATTACAACTTGTTATTCAAGGCCATTTTCCTTTTCACATCAAATGGTTTATTTTCTGTTGTCTGATCAATGAAATATATTTGAGATCTTCACAAAGCATCTACTCATTTTGTCAGCGAGTTATGCGCTTGGGTTTTGATTGGGACACAACTGACCTCAGCATTATGTTACTTGCCAAAGTGGCCAAGCCATTGTTTGGAACTGCAAAGATTGTTATAAATAGCCTTCACATTAAGGGTGATGTATGTTGAAAAGCTTTTGCCATGTATCCCTTCTTTCTATTCTTTATATCGGACAATGAAGTTTTATCTAGAATCTTGATCTATTTGATAGATTGGTTTGCAAATTTACTTTTAGAAGTCTTTGAATGTGGAGAATTGACAAGTTCTTTTACAAATCCTTTTGCTTTATTAATTATGATATAGTGATACTTACTTTACTTACATACTGCAGCTTCTCTTGATGCCGATTCTGGATGGGAAAGCAATTTTGTACTCGTTTATATCAACTCCCGAAGTTAGGATAACGGTTGCCTTCGGCAGTGGAGGAAGCCAATCACTACCTGCAACAGAGCTGCCTGGTGTCTCTTCTTGGTTGGTATGTTTCTTTCATACTTTTTTCTATGTTTTCGTTTTTTTTTATTCTCCGGACAGCGAGGACTAATCTAGAAATCCAACAGGTCATCTCAAGAACTTTAGCTCTTACTTTCCAATGTTGGGCTAATCTTTATTTTTCTCATAATGCAGGTTAAACTTTTGACTGATACCTTAGCTAAGACAATGGTCGAACCTCGCCGTCAATGTTTCTCTTTACCAGCCATAGATTTAAGGAAGAAGGCTGTTGGCGGTATTGTCTACGTGACGGTCCTTTCCGCAACTAAACTTTCTAGGAGTAGCTTGAGAGGAAGCCCCTTGAGAAAGCAACCAAGTTCCGGTGTAGATTGTTTACAACAGCACATTGACGATAAAGTTATGCAGACATTTGTTGAAGTTGAGTTGGGAGAGCTAACCAGAAGAACTAGTGTAAGGCCAGGCTCCTGTCCTCAATGGAATTTAACATTTAACATGGTTTTACATGATAATACGGGAACTGTTCGATTCCATCTATACGAGCATACTCCAGGCAGTGTGACTTGCGATTATCTAGCAAGTTGTGAGATTAAGGTACCGTAAAGTTGATGCTTATTTTATCAAAAATTTCAATGCCAAAGATTGATATATGGCTTTAGGTGGTTTCTATACGGTGTAAAAGAAGTGCATGCAATATATTATGAGCCCTAGGACAGCTCTGGGAAATAAAATTACTTGCCAGTAAAGACGTCGAGTACTTGCTTTGCTTTGATATGTTATCTTTTACATACGTAGCTTAGTTGCATAAGTCCATGTTAATAAAAGGTTTATATAAAGAGTAACATGCTATTGATTATTGACCATAATAGATATTCATCGAACAACCTTCTCTTTTTCATAATATTCTTTATTAACATCATCTTTAATGGCACTGGTAAGTTGATTCCCCATTTTCGTGTCCATTGAGCAGATGAAATACATTACAGATGATTCCACAATGTTTTGGGCAATAGGGCCAGACTCGGGTGTAATAGCTAAGCATTCTGAATTTTGCGGCAAAGACGTCGAAATGGTTCTTCCATTTGAAGGGGTCGATGCAGGGGAGGTGCGACGCGATGTGCCTTTCTTTAGTGGAGAATTAAAATATTGAATTTTATGCACACGAACTAAAATTGTTATCTTATCTATATAATTTAACAGTTGACAGTGAAGCTTGTGGTAAAAGAATGGCAATTTTCTGATGGTTCTCTTAGCTTCAACAACTTACGTGTTAGCTCACAACCATCACTGAGCGGGTCATCGAATTTCCTTTCAAGAACTGGAAGGAGAATTAGTGTAACTGTAGTGGAAGGGAAGGATCTTATGACAAAAGACAAGAGCGGAAAGTGTAACCTGTATGTTAAATTGCAATACGGAAAGGTGTGATGAAGTTGAGGTTACGAGTCTGATATTACACATTGTCGCAATAGAATTCATTATGCTAACCATCGATCTTTGCTATGAATTCTTTTTCAGGTTCTTCAGAAAACAAAGACGGCACATTCTTTTAATCCGAATTGGAACCAGAAGTTTGAGTTTGAAGAAATAGGAGATGGTGAATATCTGAAGATAAAATGCTACACCGAAGAGGTCTTTGGAGATGACAGCATTGGCAGTGCTCGTATAAGTCTCGAGGGACTGGTAGAAGGGTCACCAAGGGATGTTTGGATACCTCTTGAAAAAGTGAATTCCGGAGAAGTAAGGATCCAGATAGAAGCAGTTCGGGTTGAGGACTATGACGGATCGAGGGTAACTTTTTATGCATACTAATTGATGATCTTGTATATCAAGTGCATCTATGCTGAATCGCTGATACGTGTTTCGTATTTCCACAAGGGTTCTGCAAATCATGGAAATGGTTGGGTCGAACTTGTGCTTATCGAAGCAAGAGATCTAGTAGCTGCCGATTTAAGAGGGACAAGTGATCCGTATGTGAGGGTGCAATATGGAAACTTGAAGAGGCGAACAAAGGTATTGCGACTTGAATGAATGATGTATGTTTGTTCTATATTCTATGCTTCAATAGTTTTTAACGGTTACACGGATTGCCCTTCAGATCATGTACAAAACGTTGAACCCTAAGTGGCATCAAACATTGGAATTCCCGGATGACGGCAGTCCTTTATTGTTGCACGTCAAAGATCACAATGCCTTGCTACCGACATCGAGCATAGGTGATTGTGTTGTAGAATATCAGAGATTGCCCCCAAACGAGATGGCCGATAAGTGGATACCGCTTCAAGGGGTCAAAAGGGGAGAGATTCACGTGCAGGTTACGAGAAAAGTTCCAGAACTAGAGAAAAGACCTAGTGCGGACCCCGAATCACCCTTAACGAAAGCTCATCAAATATCAAGCCAGGTGAAAACTTTTTGTTTAGGTTGATTTCAATGGCCCTATACAATCGAACAATGTCGAACTCTGACATCTAATTTGATGTCGGTTTGTACAGATGAAACAAATGATGATCAAGCTTCAATCTTTAATCGAGGATAGCAACCTTGAAGGGATTTCGGCTCCATTGAGCGAACTCGAAACTCTTCAAGACATGCAAGAAGAATACACGGTACAGCTCGAAACTGAGCAGATGCTTCTCCTGAACAAGATAAAGGAGCTTGGTCAGGAGTTTTTGAACTCATCGCCTTCCTAAGCAGAAGATCTTCTTGAAGTTGAAGCAATTCACCGTCTGATATTGCACGTTAATATTATCGTTCTACCAATCTAGTTCCCGCTTACCGGAATGCTTACGCACAAAAGATCACGTACATCACATGCTGCATAATAATCCTCGTAGATTAGGCATCACTGCTTCGTAGATTTGGTTGATTGATAGCACTTGTATTGCTTTTAGGATGGCATAAGTCAAACACAAATGGTAGCTAAGGTCATGTATGATGAGTTGTATCTCTTAAATGTACAAGCAAAGAATTTGTATTATAAAAAGTTTGTTGTTCTTTTACAAGTTAAAGGCTTTACGTATCTCGTGTTTGGCATGTTCTTATACCAAGAACCCTTGTAGGATGCAAAGCTGAACTTTTTACTCTTTTAATCATTTTCAGCAAGATTCTTTTATCTGTTTCGTTGCCAATTTAAAGGAGTTTGTTGACGATGAAGATGAGGCCCGCAACGAATGGGAAGATGAAGATAATCTGAAAATTTTGAACTGAGTATACTGTTTTTCTTCCTGGTTCACACCATAATCAATTCCATTGAGATAATCGGTCCATTTTCCCGATAACGTCAGGCTGGAACGGGAATGTTGATCCATGATGGCCGATTTGTCTTCCCATCTTGCATCGATTTCCTTGCATCATCTGGACATGAGCTGGCATGTACAATAGCAATTTGTTCATTTTTAACACCACCAAGGTTTGGTAATGTATTTCATTTCTCAATTAGGGTTGGGGCTATATATTTGAAACTTGAGTTTCAAGAATAGTGCAAGTAGGGTCGTAAACAAGTCGAGTCGAGTTTGAGAATTGTTGAGCTTGACTCGGTTCAAAAATTTGCGAGCTTAAAATTTTCAAGCTCAACACAGAAAACGATCCCTCGTAGAAATCCTCCCTAAGATGACAAGCCATGCAACAATAGCATGTCAAGGAACATGAAGAGGGAACCGATAAGCCTATGTCAAGGAACAATAACACCTGCAACACGCATTTCTGACCAAATCCAAGCAGTCGAGACAACACTCCAATCAGCCCCCAATAGTGGAAACACCTTGTAATACCCCAAAAATTTCAACAGGTGACTAAAATGCAATTATGAAAGTTAGTGACTAAAGTATAAAAATTAGAAAATTCCAGGGACCTAAAGTGTACTTTTGAAAAAGTTATATATATTTTTTGGTCTGATAAATTAATAGTTTACCTTAAAAGAAAAATTTTTGTGCCTGCCATATTTTCGATCCAAAATTTGTAGAAAAAGTTATTAATTGGGAAAATTCGGTAAAATAATCGGATATCCGAATTGAATAAAAAATTAACAAAAATTTGAAGGATGGTAGTATGAGGTTAAAATTGTTGTTTTAGTATTTTTTTTATGTGAATAATTCGAAGTGGATCAGTCAGATTAAAAGAATTTACTGTCTTAGTGAAATAGTGCAATTTAGTGACTAAATTGAAATTTTAGAAAATTGTTTGGACTAAAAGGGAAATTGATAGATGAGATTTTTATAGTTATTTAATAAAATTAAACTATAAATAAAGGAAAAATAATTAAAAATTCATTTTAAATTAGCTTCTAATGGTTTAATTAAGAGATATTTTGATAGAATTCTCTTGAAATTCTTCTTATTCTCCAGCAGCTGACCGTAACCTCCGTAGCCAAGGTGAGTGTGATTTTCTTTTTCATTTTTTCTCCATTTTAATTAGAATTTGGGCTAAAGTGTGAAAAAGGAAAATGTTCTCCACTAAATTCTCTTTCTTTTGGTATAACTTTTGCATGATTCCATGCATAAAAAGTGAAATGGGTAGTGTTATGGAATCAATTACAAGCTTAAAAGTTAATAAAAAAACACTAAGGGACTAAGATGTAAGTATACAGTCATGTATGGGTTGTGTAAGAAATGTTAATATTTGGTTATTTTTTATATAGGAATGATTAGAAATGAATGGAAAAGAGTTGTAGGTGACTAAACCAAGATTAAATCAAAGTTGGAGACCATTAAGGAAAGATTCCAAAATTTTTGGCCTTAAGGAAGAAAAATTATGTAAAATTTTCTTTGGGGTTTGGATTAGATAGAAGAATGGTTTCATGTGAATAGAATTAAGTTTTGGATCAATTTGAAGTAATGTTAAGTTTATGGGACCTTTTTGCAAGCTTGGTGAAGTTGAAAGATTATTAGGTAATTGTTGGGAAATTGAGTTACTATGCTGGATATTGGTGTTAAAATAGTGAATTGGACTATTTTGTAGAATGGTACAAGATGGAGGACTAAGTTGGAAGTCTAGGAGAAGTTGATGATGAAATGGTAAAAATATGGGATTAAAGAAATTGCTTGGAAAAAAATAATTAAAAAAAAAGTATTGTTTGGAGTTGAAAATGGTGATTGACGTGGAATTAAAGTGATTGGTAGGGACTAAATTGAGGATTTTTTAATTATGGTGATTGATTTAGAAGAAATGTGTAATTGTGGGTTAGTCGTTAAATTGGTTAAGAAATATTATTTCAAGGACTTGGAAGGGAGTATTAAAAGAAATAAATTTGATTTAAATTAAGGGAAATAAATAAGTTTTGAATATGCATCGATTATATTTTTAGAAATTTGTTTGGATATACGATTATAATATTAGTTTAAGTATTAACATTAATATGTGTTTGAAATTGTTTATATGTTGGAAATCGGTAATCGAGTAGTTCATGATTATAATCGAGATTAAAATGAACTGGATATGAGGGTTATAACGGTGATCGTAGAGGAAGCTAGTGAGGCACTAGGTGAAAACAACTTACTTATTTTATATCTAATATGAGAACGGCTTACGATGAGTCAACCTCGAAGGTTTTCGATTGAAACAATTTGAATTATTTTATGAAATATCTTTATATTGATTTACTAAATGGTTTTTAAATGATTTTGGGTTTGAATAACCCAAATTATTTTATTCGATATTTTATTTCACAGCATGTGAATATTTTTTTGCATGAGCTGCCCAGATCTGGTTTTATATAAATGATTTTATATGCAAATTAGTAACTAATTTTGAATAAAACTCATTGTACGAAAATGAGGGTTAGTGGTACAATGGCATGCCATGAGGTGGAGTGAATCTGAATATATTTCTGATATAGCACCAATGTGGATCACTCTTGATCTGACTCGGTGTACCTTAGTGGTATACGAGGTAGAGTGATTCGGTGCATTTGATTAGCTATATATATGCATTATATGGCACCAAGATGGGTCACTCGTGGTCTGACTCGGGTGCCTTAGTGATACACGAGGTGGAGTGACTCGGTGCAATCTATTCTGACAAGAAATTTGGTATATAGCACGCTCACTTGTTATCTAACTCATGTACCGCGTATTATTATGACAATATAGTGGGCAAAAGTTTGATATGAATAAGAAAAATATGAATTTGAAATGATCAAATTTTGAAAAGAAAAGTACAGTTTTACATTGATATGAACTAATATAGAAAATTACAAATCTAAAATGGCACAGTATAATCTGATTACAGAGTTTTATGATAAATTCTTCTTACGAGTTGACATATGATTTTATACATGTTTTATTTTGTTAATGTCTTTATACAATACTATTTGTTTTATAAGTTAAATATTTTATTTATTTTATTTTACTTAGTTGCATCACTAAGTGAAAACTTAGCGTGTGAGTGTTTAACACGTCTGTGCAAGCTATAAGGAGAAAATAGGGAGCGCGTCAGTATCATTTTCGAGGAATCAATTCAGCCACCAGAATCAGTAAGTAAGGACATTTTGTCTGTTAACTTATTTACTAGTGGCATGTATATTAAAGAAGTTTCTAGCTGCTCTGATTCGAATCTATTTAAGATATTTTTGTTTAAGTTATGAAGGTTTGGTTTTACAAAGGACATTATAAATTATAGATATTGGTTTATTAAATCGTAATTATTTATGATAGAAACGATTTTCAAATCATACAATTTTCTGACAGTTTTGATTTAAGATATGTTACATGACTGTCTAAAATTTTATCAGAATTGAATTTAAATTTTGTTATTTAAATATTAAATTATGATTTTATGCGATTATTAGTTTTAAAATAAAGAAATGTATTTTAAGATTTTAAAGAAATAGTTTTTTACTAATTTTCAAATAGTAAATGCTTTGTATGACTGATGTGATATCTTTAACTTGTATACATGTATGTATATAAATTAAGGTCCCGTTTGGTTCACGGATTAAAACATTCATGGGATGAATCTTTTTTTCCGTTTAACTTACCCACGTTTGGATGATTATTATTCCCAAGTGAGGGTAAACTTTGAATACCAACAGTAGTTTTTTCCCTGTTTTACTGGGAATGTTAATCCCCCAGCTCCCTTAGGTATTTGAACATTCCCTTCCTCCTTGGCTAAAATACCCTTCTTCCCGTTAGCTTGCTTATGCGAAGGAAAACAGTGCATCTTCTTTGATTTGACGAGAGCTATTGCATTCTTCCCGTTAGTTTTCTTTGGAGTTTTACGGAGAGAGTTGTTGCATTCTTCTTCTTTGATTTCCCTTTTCTATCAGGAAAAACAGAGGAAATAAGTGATTTTTTTAGGTTTGGGTCTTTTTTTCTCATGTTGAATTTCAATAAAGTTTGAAACTTATTATCAGCTTTTAATTCCAGCATGCAATTAGTTCTAAAGCTGTATTTTGTTGTTAATTAAGCTAAATAAACTTTTTATGCCTTTTACTTTTGACATCTCTTATCTGAATTTGTTGAATGTTTGGGTTTTTATTAATTTTCTTTTTAATTGTTAGTCGTAATTTGTGCTCAAAATTTTGGGTTCGATTACACGGCGATAATTTGGATAGGAAAAGGGAGAAGATAGAACCTTCAGTTGTTTGATTTCCTTGTAGCTATTTTTAATCACTTTACCGAAATGGATGTTTTGTTTTAGGGAGGTGGATGGTGTAATAACATTCTAAGTTATGTCTTCCGCAAAACTACTCGACGTGGTTCATCAAAATTTATGGAGAAGCAAATAAATTTCACTGGAATTTTGAGCTATAAAGCTGAAGGAAACCCTGGTTTGTACTTATAGTATCATCTTAACCTGTTCTTTTTGAGCAAGTATTTATGTTGAATTTTTTAATGGGGCCTCTTGTGTTCCGCAGATTTCTACAACTGGAACAGAGTGAAGTTACGGTACTGTGATGGAGCATTTTTTGCTGGGAAGGACAGAATGAAGTACACAATAGTAGTATTAAGTATTAACATTTTGCAGCATTTCCCTGAACTATATT